TTAATGCCATAGTCTTTGGATTAAAATGTCTATGTTGTAGTATCCAAAGATATTTTGGTTTTACTTCCAAATTTTGATCTACCTCTTACCAAAAAACACCACCCAAACTTGACTTTTTTTTGCCCTTGTCTACAGCTGAAAAAAGATTCCTGTTTTGCTGCCTACATAGTTCCTCTTAAACTCCTATCTAATAATTAAGTCAAGACCAGCAGCTGTAAATACACCTTGCAGGTCTGACTGCAAAGACAGGAGTTTTTCACATCCTATTTATGGTGATAATGCAAAGACTCTATAAAAAGAGCAGAGGAACTTAAGGTCACTCTTCTGGTATATCCCAGACCAGAATTCTGCATTCACCATTGCTCAACAGCTCCAAAGTAGAAAAGCTGAGAAAAGCCATTACCTATCACAGGGATGTGAAACCCAACTGGTTGTGTTCCCACAGGCTCTGTGGGGATATATTCATTAAAAACTTTTAAAGGCAAGGAAAAATTTAAACACACCCACCACGTTTTCCCTGACAGCACTGTGAAAGTATAAGATTTTCTGACATAATTTGTAAATTTTTGAAGTAACAGCAAAAATTTTTGCTTGCTGGAGCACTTAGGGTCATGTCCTTATTTTTGCTTTCTGCCTTCTGAGTCGGTCCATGCTATGTAATAAACTGAGCATGACATCAAGGTGCCATTTACAACCCAAATGCAGGTGCATTACCATTTTCCTTTGCAGGCAGCGTGTAAAGTGCAGAGCAGTGATCACCTGAGATACTCCACCGTGCCATGAAATCACCTGTGAGCAACTCGGCTGTAGTAACACTCTGCTGTGTAATTATTGCCTGTGTGTCATCCCACTCTGGCAGCTCTGAAGTCAAGAGTTGTTGCCTGGCCAGTTTCTCCCTGCTCCCTAATTTCAGATGGAGCCAACCCCGGCCGGCCGCGCTTCCTCGGAGCTTCCCTGGCTCTGCTTCCCAGCTGAGCACACCGGATGCCTGGAGCAGGGTGGCTTTGTGTTTTTAGGATAGTCTGGAGCCTGAATGTGGTTTTGCTCCTTTGGCAGATGAGTTTTGGATGTTGGCAGCGGGGCCTTGCTTTGATTTTCACCGCCCGGATCCGTCCACGCCGACATGGAATTGTTGTGAGCAGGGTGAGTGCTCTGGGTTTGGGCTGGGAGAGAGGGAAACCTTCCAGAGACAAAGCTGGAACCCTTCCTTCACACAGGGGACGTGTTTGTTTCTGTTTTTCTAGTCTGTAAATGGCTCTCCTGAGCTGTGCCACACTATTTCCTTGGGCATTCAGGGGTGAAGAAGGACAGGCCTAATTTAATTTGTGTTTGTCAGCCTGGAACACTGTTGTACTTCCTAATTCCTGTGCCAAGGAGATCCAAAATATAACATCATACAAGCAAAACTTTAATACATTTATCATCTTCCACCAAAAGTTTCAGCTACTGTAGTGACCACTGAAAGTCAAGTATAAGTTATAGAATAAGTTATTTCAACTCAGACTCAGAAAAACTTTATTTACCTGCCTATTTCTGAATTAAATAATCTCAAATAATTTTTGCTCAGGGAAAATGTTGTTTTGTAGAGTTTTTTTTTAAATTTCTGTTAGGAGAAACCTTCATAGGAAAGTAAAAATTTCTTACTAAGAAGACATTTTTTTGGTAGCACCTGAAGTCTATGAATGCTCCTCAAAGTTTAAAAATCTTACAGGGAGATGAAGCTCTTCCTACCAAGTGTAACTTTCTGCTGATATGATTCATAAATAATGCAGAAAAGTCAGAATGAAGTTTTATCAGCTTTCCCCTCGGGGAGGGGATTTATTTTTTTATGGGCCAGTAAGAATTAGGTCGTAGGTGCTGGGAAGTGTCATGGTCTGTTCCGAGGAGCCCGTGAATGAAACTGGAGGCTCTTGGAAGTCACTTCCCCTCCTCTGCCCCCGGGGAAGGGGAGCCCTTTGTGCCACACCAGCACAGCTGAGTGTTTCTTCTGATTTGTAGGATTCTCTCTTTAGCCACATCATATAAACTGCTACTCAGATATAAAGATAGGTGTGATTTTTCCTGTTCTCAGATAAGCAGAAGGTGAGTCTGTGATAATGTCTGTAGCAATGGCAGAATCCCATTCACCATCATAGATAAATTCCCTTTTCTTACCCCCAGCACACTGGAGGTCAGATACCAACTCTTCAGATCGCTTTCAAAGTAATTCTCAATACTATAAATCAATGCAGGGTTTTTGTCTTGCTGGCCACTTCAAATAAGCCACTTCTCTGGTGGCCCCTAAGTGACAATTAAGGAGATAATGGAGTAGAAATAGTTACAACCAGAGACAACACTCTGTATCAGGTTACATAAGCTACACTGCTTAGATCTGACACTTCTCAGGCTGCTGCACTATTTTTCTCTCTGTGTCAGAGATGACAGAAAATGATAGTGCACTGAAGCTGCTGATGAAAGCCCAGCTTAGTTTTGATCTCGGCACACAATTAATTGTGATTATAAATGAAGCAGACGCTGCCTCAGCATGGTAACAAGGTACTTCTGCTACGGTGCCTGCAGTTATTTACTTGGGCAGGCAGAGAGCTCGTTTTAAATAGACTTTTTGGCTGGGATACAGTCACATCTCCGTGCTTTTGAAAGTGTAGTCCCTCTGTATTTAAGGAAATCTGTCCTCTTTTCCCTTCCCAAATTGCTTCCTTACATCACTGATGGTTCAGCAGTCCTTCATCATCCAATACAATTTCAGTGCTATGTTTGATTATTTCCCACCTCTCCTCAGAGGTGCAGCCTGTTCTCGAGTCACTGCTAAAATCTCTGTGGTGAAAACCAACTGCAAATGGGGCTTTGAGCTGCTGCCCTTGCAGGAAGGTGTTGCCATCTCTGAGCAGCTCCAGCAGCACTCACGAACAAGAGGAATTTAGGAATTTAACCTTGGCCTTTATTCCCCCAGCTCTTCATTCTCCTCTCCCACCCTTCTGGCTTCACACCTCACCCAGCTGTGCCCTTCTCAACTTGGCAACTCCTTTTGTTGACTTTTGGATTTTTTTAATCTCTTCCCAAATATTCTCTTCCTTTAAAGCCACTTACTTTGTGAAGCTATTTAATGTCCATCACGACCACGGTTGGTCCCCTTTTTATTCCATTTTTGTCAAGTATCCTGTTTGCCTCTTCCTGGGGATGGGAGGTATTTTTGCCCACACACTACTTTGTATTCTTTAAGTACTTGGTAAGAAGTAAATAGCAGAATTATTTATGAACTAAGCAAGACAACAGTCATTTGTTTTAGCTGTGTTTAGACTAAATGTTTATCAGTGTATTCACTGACACAACATGTGTCTGGGGACTACGTGAGTGGCATTTCCAGTGGCACAGACAAACTCCCTGTTCCCACCTCCACTGTGTCATCTCCAAGTTCAGCTCTTCTCTGCATTTACTAAAAGCTGTGGTGTACTTTGTATGCAAGTAAAAATATTTTTCCCTTTATAAATTATTTCTATGAAAGCTGTGATAAGAATTCTTAGGGAACTCATCCAAACTAGGAATGTTTCCTAGTGTGAGCACACCTGCCAATGGTAGAAAACACAATAAAAATTGATTTTCATGCCTTTTTCTTCAGCCAGCTTTTGCAAGGTAAGGAGTCCTTTCCAATATTTCAAGTTCCTATTCCATAGAGTGCCAAGAGATTACAGCTGCACTTAGGAGTGTTTGGACCCTGTAAATTCTCAGTTCTCTGTACTTGGGATTGAAAATTGCCATAATTAAACATTTGTTGTTTATGCATTAATAGACTTTCACTCAAATACCAGGGTATTTGATATTCTTGGCTCCTCTCTCATACCAGGTGTCATGTCTTTTCAAACACTCTGAACAATCTGCTTTCTGTATCTTGATACTCCCATAATGAAGGAATCCTGGTGCTAAGGCACACTGACAGCACTGTGACAGGAGCAGAAAGTTTGTGTGTCTACATTTGTCACATTAAGGAAAGTGGAGTAGGAGGGGGCAAAAATGTGTAGTTGATTTTTGTTCAAACTTTGCAGGAAAATTATTTTTACATTTGTCCTTGAGTATGGAGGCCACTCCCCTGACTTCCTTGGATCCCTGACCTCATAAATCTTCCTGGGTGTACCTTCAGTGAATTTTAATGTATCCTGAATTCACCTTCTTGCTTTCAAATTATTCTGGCTCATTTAAAATGATGCCCTTGAGTATTAGATTGAGAAACAGGGAGATAGTTATTCATTATTCCTTACAGAATTCATGCTGTGGGTGTTCCTAGGCAGGTAACATTCATCAAGATCCTTTTGTGCCATGTGCTGGTGGTCATTTCCATCCAGCAGAGTCATGGGGTTTTTTTCTTTTTCCTGAGGAAATGTTGGGAAATCACCAGGACACAAATCCTGGATGTTATCCATGTGATAATTTAGCTAAGCTCACCTTGGGCATCGTTTTCAGTCTGCTGCTTCTGCTGTTCCAATGCAGTGAAAACTTTCAGGGATTTTTCTTTGTTCTTTTCACGTCTGGAACTTTCCTTTATCCATTTTCTGTTGCACAGATCTTTGTGGGATTTACCACTTTTCTGAAATTATCTTGGTCGAGAGCAGACTGCTCAGATTAAAGATGCCCAACTTTAGGGCTACTTATCAAAGTCATCTTGCTCTTTCTGCTTCTCTAAATAACACACACTGTCACTGTGACTGACAGGCTCCTTTCAGTTTAATTTAGGCACAGCCTTGAATTTATGGTTCTCCTGGTCCCACTTTTAATGGTACTTGTCACAGACTGAAACTTAATGAATCATGTGTGTAACCCTCCAGATTTGACACATGAAATGGTGGGGGTGTGTGCTTAACAGCTGAAAAATGAGAAATGTTGGGGGGAAAAAGAATCAATATTTGTGTGTTTACACACAAGAAGAGACTGTAAACAGGTAATTTGGTCACCACACTTCCTTCAAAGGAGCAGGGGTCAAGTAACTGATGTCTCTCTACTGCAGAAACATGATTAAAGATAACAACGAAATTGTTCCACTAATGGGCAAGAAAACAAACCCTCCTGGAATTCCCCCTGCAAACCAGCAAGAGAAAAAGGTGACTGAAGGCACTCCCACCAAGAAAAGGTAGGACTCCAGCTCAGTGTAAACCACAAAAACTCCCTGCTTTATCTCCTTTAGGAGATCTTTGCACTGCAATACCACCAGCATCTTTGTTCTGTGTAACCTCACAAGAATCTGATCTACTGATGGTTAATGTTTGATATAAAGTGAACTTTTTTTTTTTTTTTTTTTTTTTTTTTTTTTTACGGGATCACATGGAAGAACACACCAGGTTTTATGTAAGACATGCTGGCCTGAAAAAAGGGAGCACTTCAAGCTTAGCCTCAAATGGAAATGTGACAGATTATGGAGAGGCAGAGGACTGGGACAGCAAGAGCTTTGAAAAATCCTACCACAAACAGAAATCTAAATTCACTCTATTTTTCATTAGTCTGATTAATGGGACTTTTTTGCTGTTTTATAAAATATTCACTTTCATTCATAATTGATATTAGGGAATTAATAAAGGGATTGAGGGTTTGTATTTAATATGAGTGGGGAAATATAAGCTGTAATTCCTGCCTGATACTATGAAGTCAACTAAGTTACTGTAGAGTGAGGATGAATTTTCATTCATAAACTTTTCATTCTGGATAATAACTGGTTATTATGGCAATTTCTGAAACTCTGAAGGCCTGGCCAATTGTGGCTGTTCTGACATTTATAATTCTCAATAATCAGAGGAATCACTTTTCACAGGAATGGTGCCATTAGTTATTTGAGATCCACTGCCTGGGTGGTCTAATTGGTCTTTTTGTCATTAAATTCAAGAAGAGAAGCTCTTTGGGGGCACAGGGGGGGAGACAAGGTGTGTGAACAGCTCATGATACACCCAGCACTTCAAAAAGGGCCAATTCCACGGCAGATTGTGCAGTTATAGGAATATTGCCATAGCCAAGCCCTCAATTACTTAACTCCTATCTCGCATTCATTGTGGCCTCAGGAACAGTAACCCTGGGGTTTTTCCCACCTCTCCAGGCAGAGCTCAGGGTGTGGCTGACAGCATTCCTGTAACACACAGCGCAGATCACGTGGATTTTAACGCAGGGCTTTAAATATTCCATTAATTATGGGTTCCAATGCTGCTTCATCCTGTTCCTTCAAAACTCTCCCTGCACTGCCCCACCAGCAGCTGCTGCACTCCCAGGGTGACATTTCTCACTCTCAGCGTGTACTGGCAATATTCACTTTCCTCAAAGACGGTGGCATTCCCTGCTGGAAGCTGCTGGAATTTGGGTGGACTGGGTGTGTAACTGAGCACAGGAAATCCGAGGGGCAGGAGGGGAGGAGGCTGCTGATGGCTGTGGGCAGAGCAGAGCAGCTGGCCACGTCAGCCCTTGGCTATTTGAGGGCACCTTGCTTTGTGCCCTGGCTTTTGGGGTGGTTTTTTTTTTTTTTTCCCCCCAAGCCAGGAGAGGTGAGGTCTGACCCCCCCACCCAAATCAGGGTTCCCTTCCCAGCTGCTGCTGGATGCCAGAATTAACCCCTGGCTCATCGAGCCATTGGAAAACAAGAGGAATTAGATACTGCTATTTTTAGCAAATATCAGCAGGTTATTCAGTCGTGTCCTAATAATACACTGCATTTTACCATCAATGCAAGCACTTCAACAAGGTTTTTTGGGAGAGATGCAGTTAGAAAAAAAATGCCCTTTGGACAAACCCATAAATCTTAGGTGAATTGGAAAGGTTTTCCAGGTGACTACTGCAACATTTTAGAAATGTAAGGCAGTTTCTGAACAACAGCCCCTGTGGGAGTTGCTGCATCCACCACTGAAACTCCTCTTCCTGTGGTGAGCTGTAGCAATGTTTCACTGAGATCCAGTAAAACCAAGCCATTGCTTTTTGCCTCTCAATTCTGAAGGCTTTTAAAAGGTGAAATTTTTCTTTTCATATCACTTTTCTTGTGGTGCTCCAAATTTTATTTCTTTTCGCTATAATTATTTATATCATTATTTATAGGGAAAACAGTTTAATGTCATGCAGGCAAGAGGACACATTCAACCCTGGCTGATGGAAATGCCTGAAGTCACTGAATGTGTGACCTTTCAAACTTTCTGATTTAATCACTATCACTGCTAATGGATTTGAAATGATCCATCCTGATGGCTCCTGGCTGGAAGAGCAGGGACTGGGATTATTTTTTTTTTTTTAAAACATGTTTGTGTGGCTAGGCAGTGGCAGGAGCTGGGTGCAAGGCTGGTTTAGAGATTGCTGCTCACACAAGTCAGGATCTGATGCCATGTGTTCTAAAAATACCTTGGGAATTTTGCCCATCTGCCATCCTGGAAGAGCTGGGCACAGGCTGCAGGTTGGGATTCCCTCAGGGATCAGCCTCTGCTCCAGCTCAGCTTTAATGCCACGAGAGATAAATTGTCAGGCTTGCCCTTGGTAATTCTTTTCTTGGTTTATGGTTGGGCTTGGCATTTATCACTGATATTCTTTTTTAAATGCACTGTCTTTAACAGTTCCCACTTTTTCCTGGAGATTGATGGTTTTGAAAGCAATGCCACTCCCAGTAACACCTCTCCCCCCGTGTTTTCCAAGCCCATGGATTCAAATATTCGCCCGTGGTAAGTTACAGAAGCAATGGTCCTGCTGCAAATCTATTTATTGTCTTCACAGCAGCTTCCCCTTAATTCTCCTTGGTCTCCAGTGCCAGAATTTCACTTGACTTTTCATAGTTTTGGTCACTTCAAAGACAGAACTTCACTGGACATTTATCTTTGGTTTTATCTACTGCTGTCATTTCCGTGGATTACATTAAACCTCAGATCTGAATAAATATAAAATCAGTAATTTTTTTTTAAATCTTAGCCTCTTATTTATAATGCATTAGAACAAATTTCATGCTCTCATCTTGGGTGTTTTCTGCTGTGTGAAGATCACAGCCTAATTTAGAACTCTGTTCCCAGCTGGCTGCTGACGTTTTCCCTCTATTGCTCATTAACAATCAAACGTGGAAATGCTGAATCTGAAATATTTAAAGCAGCCATTTATGCTGAATGAATAGAGAAAAATTACAACTGGGAAGAATACACTTAATTTAAAAAAAATGTGAGAGGTGCTAACAGCCAATAATTATGAGTAAGGGAAATATGCCACAAATCTGGCACAGGTTCAGAATGGCCAAAGGTTTTTGGGTCTGAGGATGTCTGGTCAGCTTTTAGGAATTGGCTGACAGGCTGATTTTTGGTTTCAGAGGAGAGGTGTCCAAATTTCTCCCTCTCATTCAGGAAGTGACCTGCACATGTGCTTTGTCACCACATTACTCAGCTTTCTGCAGAGATGAGACAGATGGAATAAGAATGAACTCGGAGCTCCCAGCTTTATTTCAAAGAGAAGGGAATACCTGCAGAGTAATGCTGTCCATGTATCTGTTTTGCTAATAATTAATAGCTCAGGTTCCCTGAATTATTAACCTGAGGTAGTTCATTCAATCTGAACCTCAGTGAAAACAAAAATACAAGTAAGAAACTAATTTATCCTAATTTTCCTAAGTCGGATCTGCTTTTGGGACTGTGTGGAAATTATGTACAGCAATTACAAAATATCAATGCCATTGAAAATCCTTTAAATATATCACCTAAGCATCTATTTAGAGCCCAGTCCTCAATTTCTTTCATTCAAGTCAGGCACTAAACACTCCTGAATTGCCTACAGTGTTCTGTGTAGTAAATCTTTAGGTAAATCTTTCATTGTGGGTTTGCAACCACTCACTGCTACTGATTTAGCACTTGTTTTGTGCCAGATGACAAATTAAGCATTTGAAAAGGAAGAATGTAAGCTTCGAGCATTCAGGGTGATGCATAAAAAGCAGTGATCATTAAAAAAAAAAAAAAAAAGAAAAAAGTTCCCACGGTTTCAGGATCTACAGTGGAATAATATAATAAGACACAAAGCAGATTGCTTTCCTAACGTGATCTTTTTAAAAATATAATAAAATCCTGTGAGTCTCTTCATCTTTTATCACTCACTTTAAAATCCACGTGGGAGATAAAATGATAGAATTAAAAGGCCAATATCAAACTGGAATAATTTAAGCTCCAGTGTAGATACTCTGTCCTACCATTGACTATTTCTTCAGGCAATTTGCTAAAATACCTGCTAATATCTTGACACATTTGCTTTTCTTTGTCTGCAGTGCATCTGGAAATGGGGAAGACATGGATTCCCCACAGTCTCTTCAGGATGATGCCACTGAATACAGCCCTAACGTGGACAGCTGCGGGTGAGTGGAAACACAAATATTTCTCAGCACATTTTCAACTGATTACATCTGTGGTAGGGTAGATATTCCTTATTTAGGGTAGATATTACCTATTGTTCCTGCCATGTTTTAGAAAAAAAGGTCATGTGTGTGCATGCCTTTCTGAGCCTTCAATAATTAAATGTTGAAATAAACAACTCTAATCTCTCAATTTTCATATTTAGTGTGAGGATTCTTTATATATAATGGAGTATTTTTAGATGGCAATGCAGGACCTACACACCACAATCAGGCATGGAGTGTTTCTGCTTGGGGGGAAATATGAAATCATTCTTTTTCCAGCATAAAGGATGATTAGAAAGTGGTGTAAGATGTGAGGTTAAGAATTCTCTTCTGCTGTCAGAGCATCAACAGGAAACCTCAGCTCTGCAGTCAGTTGTGGCAGAGCAAAGAATTGTTTCCTAGCCTTTATTCTAGAAGAACGAATAAACTGAAAAAAACACAAGATAATTGAAAAATGTGCTGTTTTTAATAAAGCACCTTCTCAACATCCCAAAACCTGCGGCTAAGCAATGTGAGAAATGTTCTGAGCTGTCCGGAACCGGGGCAAGTTCGTGTAGTCTGGGGCAAACAATTGCATTTGCTTTTACTCTTAAAATAAACCAGGACAAATGGCACCAGCAATTCCATGACGATTTCTTACAATTCAGTGCTAACACCTCCCAAGGCCCCGAGCTGAGGAGTGCCAGGAAGAAGCTGAAGAGGAATCTGTTCCGGGCAGTGTCCGAAGGGAACGTGGAGGAGCTGCAGCGGCTGCTGGCGGAGCTGAAGGAGAGATCGAGTGCCTGCAGCAGCCTGCCAGGGCCAGGTGAGCTCTGCAGGCACCTGGGGCAGGGCTGCCTGCTCTTCTGGCCCCTCAAAACCTGGGGAATATCTTCATTTCCCTGTCAATTTGGGAGTTAGGGCACAGGGATGTCCAACAGGAAAAGCAAGGTTGACGTGGAGCTCAAGAGCGAAGTGAACAGGATGGAGTAATGGTTTGGGAAATAGTTTGGGTTCATTTATATCCCTCAGGTTTCACCCCTAATGAACAGAAGGTTAATAAATAACAGGGATCTAATCTCAAAATTCACTCTTGTAGACTACCTGATGAAAAAATTCACAGCTTCAGACACTGGCAAAACTTGTCTGATGAAAGCTCTGCTGAACATCAACGAGAACACAAACGAGATAGTGAACATGCTCCTGTCCTTTGCAGAGGAAAATGGCATTTTGGAGAGATTTATCAATGCAGCATACACAGAAGAGGCATATAAAGGTATTGGCATCTTATAGCAGTTTCAGGGATATGGTTAAACAAAATAATGATGGTTTAAATTCCTTGAACCAACTTTTATTCATTATCACTGATGCCATCCTTTGTGAAACATCATTAATGTCTCAGGATGTGCTTGAGAGACTCAGCCCTAAATTCCTGTGTCTGCTTTTTCAGGCCAGACAGCTCTAAATATTGCCATTGAGAGGAGACAGTATGAAATCACCCAGAGCCTCATAGAAAAAGGAGCTGATGTCAATGCTCACGCCCAGGGTATTTTCTTTAATCCCAAACACAAGCATGAAGGCTTTTATTTTGGTAAGTGGCATTGAGATATTTCTAGAAAAGTTATGAAGGAATACCCAAAACTTCCATAAAATAAGAGCTTAATCCAGTACAATCAACATATACATGTGCTTTTGTATATTAAGATGATAAACACAGTATTTTCTATTCTGATTTGAATGCTTGAAATAAAACATGACCACTTGTTGCATTTGGTGATTCTGTAGGTGAGACTGCCCTGGCTTTAGCAGCATGTACCAACCAGCCAGACATAATTGAGCTGTTAATGGACAATGCCAGGACCAATATTTCCTCTCAGGATTCCAGAGGAAACAATATCCTGCATGCATTAGTTACAGTGGCAGAGGATTCCAGAACACAGAATGACTTTGTGATCAGAATGTACGACATGATTCTGCTGAAAAGTAAAGACAGAAATCTGGAAACAACCAAGAATAAGGAGGGTTTGACACCACTGCAATTAGCTGCAAAAACTGGCAAATTAGAGGTGGGTGTGATTTCAGTAGCACCTAAGAGAAACTTGTTCTCTAAAACATCTTTTTCCAGGCTGATTATACTGTTTTATATCCATATTTGGTGAGCTAATTTTGTTCAAAACACAAATATTTCCATTGCAGTGTTGCTTTTATGCTTCAAGGTTTCTCTGTAACTCACTCCCTCTGTTTAGAACCAGCCTTCTGTTGTACAGAAATTCTGCATTTACCACCAAACAATTTCAGAAAACTCACTAGAACTGCTCTGTTGTACTGCTGTAGAATTTGGTTTGCATAAATCAACTGTAGTGTAAAGAATTGGCAATGGGATGATTTAGAAAGTAATTAAATTTGAGGAAGGCATAAATGAATACATGGAAAATTGTGCTTTCATACTTCAGAAAAATCTCTGACAGAAAATCTGAAGGCATTAAAAACACTGAACTTATTTCTTAGAGGTTTTTCACCTCCAGCACCCCTCACTGAATAACACAATTACAAATACATTAAATTGCACAACTGTACAAAATGTTATAGGTAAAAGGTGGGAGTTTGGGCAGGAATATTATGTGCTTTCTCCTTTCCCATGAACAACACAGCTGCTGACAAATCATCTGTTCATGTTTTAGATTCTGAAATACATCCTGAGCAGAGAGATCAGAGAGAAGCCAAACAGGAGCCTGTCAAGAAAATTCACAGACTGGGCTTATGGTCCTGTTCAGTCTTCTCTGTATGATCTGACAGAGCTGGATACCACTGCTGACAACTCAGTGCTGGAAATCACCTATTTATATTAAAAAAATACATTTTTTTTTTCCTACCAGTACCTCCATTTTAGATGTGTCAGCCTTGCAAACAACTGAATTACTTGTGAACAG